ATTTTCACCTAAATTCAATACATGCAACAATACGATTGCTTTAAATTACAGAAGCACTCAAACGGAGGCTTTCTGAGCCTCGCCAGAAGGTGGAACAAAAGCCGCTGCAAAGGGGCAGAATTCACATGCTCCACTTCACGGTGTAGGACACGTGGAGGTCACAGCTTTCTCTGAACGTGAGCTAGCAGTGCTGTGTTTACCCACAGGCTGGAGGCCACGTATAGCCGGATCGATGCATACATAGCTGCCTACAGACAGGTGCCTTCTGTGTACCGACCATATGGAGCAAGACAAAACTTTTGCAAACACAGCCAGGGTCACCACGAACACTTTTGTGTGAATTCTAATTAGGTAGCATTGACAGATCTGCGATATGCAGACTAAGCAGATGGTTCATGGACAGTGAGAGGAGACGGCTACAGGTCTCGTGTTGTAGCAGCTGGCTCACGACTCCGGGATGCTGCGTCTCAGCAAAGTAAGAGAAAGACAGAAACAGAGAGATGGACACAGAGTGAAAGAAAAAATGGCTGAAATACTTCTTATTGTCACCACCAGTAATTTCTTTCTGCTGCTGATTTCTTCTATCAGTTAATCATTTTGTCAGTGAATTAGTCAGAATATTCTTTGAGCCAAAGTGACGCATGCATGTGACCAGCAGTCAAAAAAGCAAAAAGATATTTGGTTTATTATTTGGAACGACAAATAAAATCTTCAGATTTCTAGTAGCTGGAAGCAGAACGTAGCTGGCAGTGTTGGTTAAAAAGTGACTCAGATGATTGATTGATTCAAAATCATCGCCTTTTACTTTGTCTTTTGACTAACTGGCTGAAAATTTCAGTGAAAAGTGAACAGAGATGGAAAATTTAGAAAAAGAGAAAAATTACACACAAAGAAATACTACTCCTGGATTACAAAACAAAATAACACCAAAGTTAAGTGCAAAACATTGTGTGCACAAATTATTCTTAAAGCACTACAAATAGTTAAATATATAATAAATTTCAGTAAATATCCAACCTAAGACAAAGTGAGACTAAAATCTGAGCAGCCAGAACCCAACATACTGAAGCTACTGATTTGAACCATGCATCTAAAATTTACCACACTTACCTTTTTTATTTCTCTTTCTTTCTCTTATGAATATCATAAACAAAACAGCTTCCTTGTAGCGTGTTACTGCGTCTCGCCTCCCTGTGTGGCACTGATGTCTCTTTCCTCCCCTCTATTTCCACTCTCTATCCTGCTCAATCCCAGCTTTGATGTATGCATGAGGGAGGATTTCCTGAAGACCAAAGAGGCCATTACCCAGGGGCCATTAGGCCTCTAGTAGAGCATGTCAATGAGTGCTGAGTCTTGCTCTGTTTTCACATGCAGCCGCTTGTGTGTGTGGGTGAGGTGGGGGGCGGGTGAGGCGAGGTGGGGAGGGATTCCCTGGGGGAGATAAAACCCTTAAATGCATACATGGCCGTCGTAAACGTCTGTACAGTTTTCTTTTTAACGTTGTTTGCGTGTCCTGCTGCAACTTGCGCCTGTTTGTCCGACTGTTGCACGTGAGGACGCCGGGTCACTAATTGGTGCTGTTGTTCTTTCATGCAGGCGAAGAACGAGGGGAGTGAGTCATCATCATCAGGATGAAACGCTCTGACATTTGAGCATGAAAGTCCCAGAGTGCCTTTCGGCCCAACATCTCTGTTTGTGTTTTACAGTAAAAGGAGCGCTGTGGACCGAACGAGGGATTCTCTGATTGATTTTTTTTGTTCAGGTCATGCATGCAGTAGCCGTGATGCAGAGCGGGATAGCTAATAATGAGGGCGAAACAAATAACTGTGTGTTATTTACGTGGGGATCTTTCTGATGTGGTGAGTGGATGGAACCAGGATGAGCAGGAGAGCACTGAAAGGGACACACGGGGAAGATAACCTTGATGGCAGGAATCACTCTGCTGATCTCTTCAATATGTCCCCACAGAGGACAAGGGCACAGCGACTCTCCTCTGCTGTGGGTTTTTTTTTTTAAAAAGAGGAAGAAAAGCCCTCAAAGAAAGCGTGTGGTAAATGAGTGACAGTATATCATGCTCCTGTTTTTACAGAGAGCACTTGAGAGGATCATTGAAGTTTGCTGAGAGCGTCGGGACTCTCTCTCAAGGGCAACCGGCTCTATCGTCGGCGGTGAATGCGACGCGCAGTCCTTCTCTAATCAGAAATATAAAATCTTAGCATTCAGCACGCTGCTGACTATATTGGGTTTTACAGAGTGTGAAGCTTCGCTTTTCTGTCCAGCGCAGCAGAACATCAGCATACGGGGCCACAGAAGGAGACCGAGGAGGAGGTTAGGGGAGGGAGAGACAGATGGATAAGGTGGAGGAAGAAGGAAGATAAGCCACCAGAGTGTGTGTGTGTGTGTGTGTGTGTGTGGGGTGCGCCTGTACTGGTGACTTCCCCGCGGCCCGGAGACAGGGAAACAAGGAGTGATTAATTCTACTCCAACCCGCCTGGCCTCTGTCTGGGGGAGCAGTCCCCCAGAAAGGAGGCCGGAGTCGGATACAGAGCAGAGAAGCCTTCCGCTCGACTCCCCGGATCGATGGCAGATTGGCAGGTCAATCTCTTCAGGACAAACTGCGCGGCCAATGAGAGGGACCCGGCGTGGAGGAGACCCACCTCTTGTCTGCTTTTCTCGCCGTTTGAAGGATCAGCAGAGCTCGAGGTCATTGATCTGTGTGTTTTCACTGAGCGGATCCTTTAGCTGGCCTGATCGATCAGCTATAATAAAGAGTGGATTCTCCATAAGCATGGCAACGTGCTCGATGAGATCCGAGCCCCCGCGGTGACAGCCATCGCTTTTATCCGCCGTTCTGCTGCTCACAAACACCAGACACATGAAGGTTAGTTTGCATGTAAGGGGTGACAGCCATCACACACTGGTGCTCAGACTGGTCGTCCTGTGGCCCCAGCAGCACACCCAGCAGCATCCCACCACCCAGACGTCTTCACCCCCTGATGTTTTGTTTGCTCTCCGTGCTCCAGACAGCTATACAAAATTAGCATTCATTTTTCTCTCTCCTGGCCCCACGAATTAGGCTCAATTGAGCTGCTTAATGTATGTCTGAATGGAAAGAGAGAGTAAGGTGTACGTGTGAGTCAGCACAAATGTTTAGTGTGAGTCAGCCGGCCTACATCACTCCGGCACTATCTGTTTGTTGTTATCATTAATGTCATGATGGGAAGCGGTACAGTGAATGGATGTGTGAGAGTAGCCATCAATTAAGGTTATTTTTCCTCCACAACAGGAATAATAATAAATCAAAACACGGCTGCCTCCTGCTTCTCTGGCTGCCACAGATTTGTTCAGGAAGGGTGGATGAGAGGGAGTCGCTCGTTCGATACAGCTCAAAAAAATGTGCAGCTCTGGGGAATACAAGCAGAGTTTTTCTTTCCCCCTCACTTCCAGAGGAACAAGGCCAGGTGTTTGTTCTGACTGAATGATCCGTGACATCTATGTGCATAAGCTGCTTCATCTCCTGCCTTCAGGTGGGTTTCTCCTCCTCCTCCCGCTGAGGCCGACGTCCTGCAGCGTGTCCTTTCTACCTAAACATGGCCCGTCTTCTCTGTCGGCGAGGAGACAGCGAGCCGGCCCACTGCTGTGTGGCTTTCTGCAGCCCAGCACCTGCGTGTCCCTGCTGACTGCCTGAGCCAAGGACAGCACGGCCACGAGACCGGCTGCCCAGCAAATGGGCTGAGAGATGTAAGGCCGCCCCCGAGGACGGGCCGACGGGGACCAAGTGTCCAGAACCTCAGCTCTGACTGGGAGACAACTGGATTGGACTTTACTCCAGTTCTGTGCTTCCAAAGGCCCGAAAAGCTCCGTCTGCATCGCACGAGTTAAAAATGCGTTTTTGTTTAGGCGCAAATGTGTCACACCTGGCCTCCAGTTGAAACAGCAAGATCAGACAAGAGACAGCGGAGCAGGGAGAAGGTAAGAAGACAGGTACAGGTGCAATCACACACACACACACACACACACACACACAACCGCAAACACACACTGACACACAGCTGATAGAGGCAGATAGTCACTTCTCCAGGGGGTGACTTCATGCTGGATTAGATTTGCTCTGAGGTTTCTCTCCTCCTTGTTTACCATTTAAACCAACAGCATTATGTCCAGAAGAAAAGTTGCTCCACTAACATCCAACCCCATTAACGAGCTTATAATTATTCCAGATCCCACTTAAAAGAAACCAGGAGACACGGCGCGGCCCTCTGCAAAGTCAAAGCCCCTCCGTCCAAATAGCTGGTGTCTAGGTGTCTCCACAATGAGCTTATTAAGTCTCCTTGCATTCATTTAAATGTTCATCCAGTGGACCAGACGCGCTAATAAGTAGAACAAATGTAGTTGGAGAGCAGCCCCAAGGTGATCCGCTCCATGTTTACACTCCAGTTGCTTTAATGCGGCCCTCCAGAGTCCTGCTTCTAATCACCAAAATAAAGCCTTGGTTTGGTTTCTGCTCCACAAGCCCGAGTTTTGGGGGAGAGCAGAGCGCAGTGGACACGAGGAGGAGGAAGAGGAGGTGGCCTGATGCGCGCCCCCGTCTGTCTGTCCGTCTGTCTGTCGCACAGGACTGTTTGCATGGAGGAAGGGACCACTGGAGCCAACAGCTGAATCAAGTGTCAGACCAGATACATGCAGGACGTTGCGCGTTTGGACTTGAAAAAATAAAATTCCTCCTCAAAAAACGTGACGCTGAGTGAAGGCTGCGCGTCAGAGGAGGCAGAGTCCACAAACAGGGCCGTGGTCACGAACCGGAGACCAGAAATGAGCTCCATCAGAGGCAGACTGTGAGATTAGATCACCTACATTTGGCTTTTTACACAATTCTTCACAAAAACACTGATTCCGTGCTTCCTCCCAGAGACCAGGTTTTATTGTGAAAGCCGGAACGGGGCCGCTGCGTCCGCGTCGTGGCGAGCTTTGCTGTGTTTGCTCGTTACAGTGGAGACAGTGGGAGAGAGAAGGAGCAAATGTGCGCGGCGGCGGAGAGGGAGGGAGGACAGCGAGTGCGCAAACAGGCATCCAGGCACATCAGCAGCAGCAGCGGCGGCGGCGGCGGCAGAGCATCTTCCTGATCCTCATCTCTCCGCGTCTTCAGCTGCCAGTTCTTCCGTGTGCGTCTCCCGGTTGACATTTCCCCACTGCCGGGCTCCGGTGTCCAGAAGCCTCCGCCGAACCATCACCTCCCACCACAACACTTTCTCCGGAGCTCGGTTATTCTTAGCTCAGCTGCGAGCGACTGTCCTTCCGGTCCTTCTTTTATTTATCCCAGTTTCTTGAATATTTAATGGAAAATGGCGATCTGCGCGCCGTCCTACGGTTTCTTCTGCCTGCTCACAATCCAAACTGTACTTATCATTTGCGTTTCCACGCCGACAGCCGGGACCCACCTCTTCCCCCAGCACTACACGTAAGTACCCTGCACGGTTTTTCTTGTGGTGGGGGGCAGTAAAGCGGTGGAGGGAGGGCGCGGAGCCTGGAAGTAGGACAGGTGGCCCCCCGACGAGGCTGCACATGCGGCGCCGCTGCTTACCTTGGAGCCGCCGAACCTGATGTTCCGACGCAGCGTCCGTCTCCGATGCTGCGTTATGAATCCGGTTGTTTTTGTTGTTGTGGGCATTTATGAAACCCAAAGTCTCTCCCAGTTCGTCATAGGCAACATGGAACCAGGCTGCAGGGAGCGTGCACATGTGCCACAGGCGCAGAATAACAGCAGCCATCCGAGCGACGGTTCAAGGGTACGAAGGATGTAATAATAATAATCAGAATAAAAACAGTGGCGCATGTGGGAGAAGATCCCGTCTAGGCAGGATCCTAGAAGTCCTGCCCTCGCACCGTGGATGACATCCCACCGCCGGATAACTCTGGTGTGTTTTAACAGGATCGGTTTGTTTCAGGGACTAAATCTGTAAATTAGAAACGCGCTGGAGGCCGGTTGGTTTAACGCACAGAGTGTTGACCTGCTGGGGATCAGCAACACAAACTGTTGTTGGACTTTTTCTGCGTGCACCTGTTGGGGGATAGTTTGCGGTAATATTTCAGATTCAGCAGCATGTTTTCTTCTCTTATGCGAACAGCAGAACAGTTTCTCATTTAAAGACGCACAAAGGCAACAACCTGCCACCTGTGCGTCGGACTGGTCAGTGACAGACTGCCAGTGATTTGCCCTCAATTGTCCTTAAAAAAAAAAAAAAGAAGAAGAAGAAGTTGAGATGGCTTTATGTCAGGGTTTATGTCAGCTTTTAGTCCAGGAACCAAACCCACTGAGACCAAAGTGCAACAGTTCCTCAGGTCCAAGCGGTGCCGAGTCCAAGTCGCCCCTGTTTGTACTAATCCTGCTGATGTGACGTGAACTCGATGAGTCGCCTGTAGTGATGATTAGTCAGCCAGGTTTACAGAAACGACAGGAATCTAAATGATTCAGCGGATGATCTCTTTAAAAATCTCCAGGGCATCTGCTAATTTCACAGCCAAGGTGACTTTCAAAGGAGGAACCAGTTCTCCTTTATGTGCCTGCCGATTGACTTCAGACGACAATTAGCTGGACCATTGGTTTGATTGCTTTGGCTCAATGAGGAAAGGTGATGCGTGTGATTTACACCTGGGTTACTTTGCAAACAATATTTTCCATATTCCATGTTGTGTTTCTGAATCGCTGTGTCACAGTCTGGGTGTGTTGTCGGTGGTGAAACTACTAAAGTGCACCTCATTTACCCCATCATAATTACTTTTTAAATAAAACCCCCTCAAGTCTGTCCTTGTTTGAGCAGATAAAAATAAGATAAATAGTCCACAGGGCTGGTCATATATGTATCTCTGTGTTACATCCAGTCACCTCTTGGGATTTATAAACTGGGTTTTGGGCCACCCACATCTCGGCGGTCTGTGCCAGAATTTGACAGTTAATTGAAGTGTATGGGGAGCTATTGAGGCAATCTGTCTGATGTATAGGCCTGACACACACACACACACACACACACACACACACACACACACACAGGTCAGAGCAAGTGGGCGTTCGAGGTGCAGCCGAGGAAGTGTGTCTGTTAGAAAGGGCAGAATGTCCTCTGGTTCATTCCGACAGCAGTGCCAAGAAAGTGTACGTTTTCTCCACCTAAAAAAAAAACCAAACTCCTGGTCAGGTTGTTGTGTACCTATCGCACTGCAGTGTGTGTCGAATACAGTGTGTATGTTAGAGGAGGGGGAGGAAAAAATAAAAATGGCGCGCATAGGTACGTTATTTCCATCTTTCTAAATTATGTGGAGAAAATGTGTTCTGATAACTGGAAGCTAAATGGACGTTTTTACAGCATTTTGTTGGAAAGTAAAATCTTTCCGAGGAGAGCGAAATAATCATCAGCAATTTTCCCACCTTCTGCCCCTAATAGACAGCTGAGCGTGGCACCTGGAATGATTAGATCCATGGCAGCAGGATGAGGACGGCGGCGTTGCATGTGCTGCTCTCACATCCAAACTCATTTCATCACATTTGGTGTTTTTTTTTTTTTCTGTACTGTTTGGCTGCCATAAATTGTAATACAAGGAAAATACATCAAGAGGAAAAATGGCAAAGTTTTAATTCTACATTAGACTACAAAGAGCCTCGGTAGGCTTTCATGTAGCGCGCCATGACAGCTTCCGTGTTTTAAAGGCAGATCACAGCTTTCATAGCGCAGAAGGTCTCCAAGCATTCAGTGACTATTAGGCCTCAGTGGTGCATATGATTTCCCAAACAGCCGTGTCCTGATATCTCTGTAGCTGGTGTTGAATGGAGAGTTTTGCATATTTGGGACTTTGAAATATTTTTCTTTGATTTACAGTCACGCATCTCCAGCGTGCATTGTGCCTTTAAATGTTGTTAGGTCAGCTTCATACCATGTGACGCGATGCAAGTCAGTGGATTATGGATATCAGGCTGCATGTAAGTATGCTGCTGATTACGGTGGATGTGTTTAATGTCGTGGAAGCGTCAGGAAGGAGGAACGACAAAGCTAATATGAGCCTGTGGAGCTGGTGGATGTATAGCAGCCTTCATTATGAGCTGAGGCAAAATCCTGTCAGAGGTTTGTTATCGCGGTGTTGTAATGTAGTTTTGAAGTATCTTTGTATTATATATGATTATACTTGTGGTCCATTTTTGCCAGAAAAAATAACAGAAACATAAAAAATATTCAGACCCATTGCAGTGAAGGGAACGTTTGATGTTTTATGTTTGACACACAGGTTTCTTTAATCCAAACTCAGTAGATTTTTTTAACCGTTGTATTGGACTGTGGTGGCAATATGCACAAATTTTATGTTTCAGTTTTTTTGTCTGTTTTTTTGGAGACTTCCTCAAATATCCAACATCACATGATGACCATTTAAACTGATGCTTATCCCACCGTGTCAAACAATCAATTCAGTTCAAGTATAGCCCAACTTCTATTCATATAACGCCGACTCACGGCGTCTCCACACAGTAAGATGAAAACCTCACATTTATAACCCAACAGATCCAGAGTTCCTTTGGATGCCCTTGGAGCAGCACTGAGCAACAGTGGGAAGAAAAACTTCTTTTTTCCCGGAAGAAGCCTCCAGCAGTGTTAGTTTTCAAACAAATATGCAATACAGGCATACATAGTTTGTTAACTGTCAACTTGTTATCATTCATTAGCAGATAAGATCTGTGCCTCACAATATCTATATATTAGAAATAGATGAGAAATGTTACAATATTGTAGAAGATATGGTGCGATAATAAACAGTAATATTAAATTACTCCATAATTTATTTATTCAATCAATAGATAAAATAATAAATGTTTGAAGTTACTGCATGATAATGTAATTCTGGCTTTGTGAACAGAACAAGGACTTCCTTTTCCTACTTGGTCATTAAATTTAATTATTTTTCCCCTAATTGTTTCGTTAAAGTTAAATATTGCACAAAGCCACCGATACTAAGAACGCTCAATAATATCAGCATCGCATCAGTATCTGCTGGTAAAGGCTTCAGAATGAAATATCAGCCCAAAATGAACATTGACAGGATTAGATTATGCCTGTCAAGGTTTACGGTTTAGTTTGAAAATATTACATAAAAAATAAATGTAGCATGTTTTATATGTAAGTTGAGGTTATTTTACCCAGTGAATATACACATTTAAAGACTTTTATGTCTGCATCTGCCAGTGGGTCATCAAGATACTACTAATACTTTAATTGCACTACAGGAGAGACTGGATGTTGTCCATGATCAGGGGTAAAAAAAATAAAATGTGCGGACGTTGGTATTGGTAATCGGCGAAAATCAGTTTTATATATATTGGCATCAGAGAAAATACAATATTGTGCATCCAACCGTAGTGGTATTCAGGAGAACGTCATTAATGTTAAATCAAACATTTTTAGATGATAGGACAGTAAATAAGTTAGTATTATGTTTACCAAAACTGACTATATGTGTCCAAAATTACAATATGACACTATATGAAAATAATACAACTACTAATGAAGGGCTGTCATGCAGAGTGTACATGTAAATAAATGCATAAAATAAAATATACATACAAATAGAACGCATACACACACGTATATATAATAACATATACTATGGGTATGTAATGATTAATGTGACAGAGCCTGTTGTGTCCCCATGTGGTGGGCATGTCCCCATAACGTCACTGTGTAGACATATGTAGGTCCCCACAACAGGCGTAGTACTCGCCCACACACGCTTGTATGTGTGTGTGTGTGTATATATACATACAATGTGTGTGTGTGTGTGTGTGTGTGTGTGTAGCATGTAGCCTAACGAAGTTGCATAAGAGCCGTGCCTGGCTGGGGGATGAAGGTCCGTCCCTCTGTGTTAGTGTCAGCGCGTCCTCTGTTCTCACTGTAGACCTGTTCTCATTTCATATCCAGGTGACCTTTTCATAGCCTCCACGCCGGCCCCCCTCTGCACCCCTTTTGTAGGCCCTCTTGCTTTCCCTTCATCTAGTCCCCATAAACACAGGCGGCGCACACACACACACACACACACACACACACACACACACACACACTCTGTGGCTGGTGTGTTTGCGCTGCGGCGGTTCCTCTCCTGATGAGGCCCGCTCCGGCTTGGTGATTATGGAGAGCGCTGTCACTGCTCGGCAGATTTGTGCAATTTAATAAATCTGTCTTGCCTCTTGTCTTCTGAGCAAATCTGACATTTAAAGATGACATTTGTCTCCGTCATCATATTAAAAGAAGAGCGACTGTGTTGTGTTGTGCTGTTGATGCTAGTGATTAGCTATCTGCAGGCTGCCGAAAGGAAAAGGTTGGCACCGAATCACTGGCTGTCTCGCAAACACATGACAGAATTTATTCATCTGATTGTTTTTTCTTCTTTTTTTTTCCTCTCTGACGGTTTCTGGCCGACTCTTCACACGGAGCGTTCAGTCGGCATCCGGATTGGCAGCTCGGCCCCCGCCGCTGCTTTAAAATGATCTAGTAAAAATCTTGATCCATTAAGTCATTTGTTGCTCGCTGCGAGATATACAGTGATGAGCTCCAGCCGTTTGATCTCTTAATTCCAAACTTGGCTCCGTCTAACGGAGATCAGCTCCTGCTTAGGGTGCACTTCTGTCAGACCTGAGCAGTTTTATTGCAGAGCCGCTGATCCCAGTCGAGCCAAGACAGGCACGTTCGCTGCCAGTCCTGCCAGGACGGACCAGATATATGCAAGATGTGATGGGCAGAGAAGGCGCTGATGACTAACCCAGACATTAGCAGAGATAGGACAGGGATACTTCCAGATAGGGATCCGGGAAGGGGGGAGAGGTGGCAGGATGCCAGCAGGAGGAGAGACGGGGATAGACTCACAGTCCTACAGAGGAATGGATGCTGGTGTGATGACAGCATCAGGTGATGATGTCGAGAAATGCGGATTTAAAAAGGTCTGAATTTGTTTTTCAGGATGATTCACTGGGCCGGACGCATCGAGAAGGAGCTGGAAAAGGTTCTGCAGCACGTCACTGGGACTCAGCAGATGAGATCGGTGAGTTGACGTCACGCCTGCATGTGATGCCCTGCGTTCCCCTGCGTTCTCCTGCATTATTAATCAGCAGGACCTGACTGGGCTACGCTGCTCAGCAGAAGTGTGTCTGTGAGGCAGTGGGTTCATATGAGCTGTTGATCTGGAGCATTAAAGTGTTTCTCTGAGATAACTTCACTCAGAGATAATTATGCTTTTTTTTCAGTGTGAATCAGCTTCTTCATGAATTTCCTTGAGCCAGATCCCCCTCCTGATACCTCCAGAAACCCAAACCTCCGACTTGATTATTCTTAATCTTAACTCTTATGAAACAAGGGTTTTAAAGTGAAGCTGCTCTGGGGGGAAAAATGGAACGATTTCAACCGAGCGACTCACTTTTTGTTTCACGACGAGGATGTGAAGCTAAAGGCCTGAGTGTGTTGCTGGGAGCAGAGCGTGGAGCTGGTTGTTGTGTGAGTCTTTGTTCAACATGTGTTTGCAGAGCAGATGGTTGAGCATAGTGTGATTGACACTGTTTCATCATACTTGTGTTTGCCATGCTTCCAGGGTTTGTAATGCAACCTGAGATAAATGCTTCATTATTGCTGTATGGCTGCGTGTGATTCATCCAGCCGGTGCGCCGCCCTCGGCTCCAGCGCTAGCAGCAGCAGCAGCAGCAGCAGCAGTGGTGGTGAGTGTGGTGGCGACGTTGATGGATCCCAGAGAGGAGGAAGTGAGCTGACAGGGATGGCGCTGGTGTAAAGGGTAATGACCATTAGTGGATCTCAGGCAGGCGCTCAGAGGTCGATGTTTAGCGCTCATCCAGTGTAAACTAAACATAACGGAGAGTGTTTACCGTCTAAATATTTACCTTTCGCGGTTTGTGCAAATATTTTTTTCTGCGCTCCCATCGAGGATCTCGCTAAATAACGCTCCTCATTGTTTCAAGGTGAAAGCTGCTGTTTGATAATAAAAAATGACGTCCCCTCCAGAACGTTGTCATTCCACGAGCTACAAAAACAATATTGATTCACGCTGGCTGTCGATGCACTCTGGAGATACCCCAGTGGCTTTCTGAAGAGGCTCTATCAGAGGTTGGGGAGTTTCCTCAGCCCATCAGGAAGCGCGTCATCCTTCAGCTCATCTGAGACGTTCATACGATCACGAGACTCAGAGTTGTTGTTTTCAGACACGGTGGTCGTCTGCGGGTCGCGTCCTGATGCAGCTCCATCTACATGCACGTAGCAGCTGATTTTATTTTTCCTACATTTTTGTTTACTCTTCCATCATTTTCTTGATAATTCTCTTCACCAGCTGCTCTGTATCATGTTGGAAAACAGTCTTTCTGATGCCCAGAGTGTCAGCAAACAGCATGTTTTATCTACCAGACTATCGCACGACAAGGAGCGGATTCTTACTGGAGGATGTTTGGTGATGGAGCTCCTGTTGACTGATCAAACTGAGCTATTGGTTGTCCATTGATTAATTTATCAATCACTGTTTTTATTATTTATTTGCTTCACATATTTCACGGCGTCCCTCCGCTGCTTATTTGATAACTGGGACATATGCAGCTGAACGATCCGGAGCTTAACGAGACCTAAAGCCGAGACGTGACGCTGACGTGACGCTAAGTGCTCGGCGGGATTTAACTTGTGTGGATTTAATCTCATTTACACAACAAGTGACTGTTTTTATTTACTGTGCGGGCCGATGGCGCCGGCGTGGCTTCCCGAGCGTCCGTCCCGGTGATGTCTTGTGCACGGCGCCCATATGGCTGCATGTGTGTGTGTGCGCTGGCCTGGCTGTGTGCACAGACCGGGTGTGAAGGAACATTTATCATTGCCCCAAACAGGAGTCGTCACAGGGTGTGCTAAATGGCCCAGCATGCCTAGAAAAGCCATTTTCTAAATGGATGCCTCTCTCTATACGTGTGTCTGATAGAAATCTTCCCAGGGCTATGCCGGCTGGTAACAAGATTGCCTCCCTCTGCGCCCCCTTCCTCTTCATGCGCAGTTTATTCTCACAGACAAAAAATGTAAAGTGTGTGCAAATTATTTTTGAGTTTGTCTTACATGGAAAGAGACAAGGGAACTAAGTTGAATATAATGTGGTGTCTTCAGTTCCCCCTCAGCTGAGATTTTATTTTATTTTTACTGATGAGCAGGTGGCAGGTGAAGCAGGAGGAAAGGCCCAGACGTCCAGCACATTAGGACGGATTCAGAGATGCACCATATTTAGATGTGTTTCAGTTTCTAATCAGGTTCTAATACACTGTGCCCAGGTTTGGTCAAGATGTTATTTTTGCCTGTAGGGAGTGAAGGGAGGATGGAGGCTGAGTGATGTATCGGAGGAGTTGGAAGTTTGGAACGGGAGAGTGTGGAGCTCAGATAGACAAGGAGAGTGGGCGGCTGCCGGAGCGGAGGAGGAGGGTTTTCACCCAGAGAAAGGATGAAGAATGGCTTGACAATTGAGATGGATGTTCGGGCGGTTTTGTGTGTATATTTAGAGTCAAACTACTTAAGATGGATGAAATGATAGAGGGGACGGACGAGAGCTGGTAAATTTAAATGTGAGCAGACGGTTGCTGTTTATAGTCCTCATCCTCCTCATTATCCTATGTGCTGCTGCTGCGTTTGATGTGTTACAGTATGCGGCGATGAGAGGCGGCGGTGGACGCTGCCATTGTTTTTATATCCTCGGGCTCATTCAGAGCAGTTTAATAGGCACACACGAGCAGCGCCTACACCCACGAACTGTCATTACAGATGGTTCATCGGAGACGCAGGCGGAGCTGCAGCGATTCGATTAATCAAATAATTATTTGGATGAAAAACTGTTTTCCTAAAGTTGTCTTTGCAGTGGGTTAAATACTGTTTCCAACTTTTAAAATAGAAGATTTCATGGTTTTGTTTGTGTGCTAAGCTAATCACCATGGTTACGCTGATCAACACTGACATCGTGGTAATTGATCATGATTATTCATTTATTGTGGGGCCCAAATATTGAATAACACTTTAAACAAACAGCACCACTTCTGTTGTGCAACTTTTTTGCTAATGTAAAAATTAGGGGCGGGACTTTAACGTGTTAATTGCAATTAATTAATTAGAGCGATCCATTTTGCAAGCGAATTTGTGAGTTTGTTAGACATTGACTAACTCATTTTGGCTCTGAATCTGGTCATGTGGTCCAGTGTGGGCTGCCGATGCTGCTTGCTCGTACTCGACCAGGACTGCTAGCGCTAACTGCTGCAGCGGTTTCTGTGCTCGCTGCTTTGCTTTTAGGTGGTACCGTCAGCTCCATGTGCTTCATTTTGTTTTTTGCACAAGTTGCACCAAACCAGGCTCTGGTCCAGGCTTCCATCAGGTGGTTTGTTAAAATGAAACTTGCCGTCCATCCATCCAAGCGATGCGCTCTCATCGGGTTCCTCCATGTTTGTTGTTGTTAGCGTGGCGCTGAAACGTCTTGTGCATCATGTGATCAGTGGAACATGAAATCGGGCGCTGACAAATGTTCCGTGTTGTCTGGATGCAAACTGCGAGTAAACGCGTTGTTTTTTTTGTAATTAATGAATCGTATTTAGCGCGTTAAAAGTATATTAGTAAAAATCTTTGCACCTAAAGAATACCTGACCTGAATTCAGTGCTTCCTTTAGGGGCAAGACATAAATAAAACTGGACCCAAAAGACCCATACTTGCTGATCATCTGCTCATGAATAGACACTGTAATTGACAGATGTTCCCTGAACGCCTCACATACAGGCTAAGCTAGATGCTAGCTAGGCGGCTACTCATAGGTAAGCTTCTTGTCTCAGTTACCGCGATGTGAGCAGTTCAGACAGAAAGCGTGACTTAACCGAGGAGTTCAAACCAAATGATTTTATCTCCATGGGCTGGTTTCTGTGATGATCCGAGTTTTTTGTTTGTGGAGTCGATCATAATTGTACCAAAATCTTGATTGTGTTTAACGCTTAATTAATTTTGCAGCGGTTTATTTTGGACAAAACGAGATATCAATTAACAGAGAAATGAATTTCCACATTAATAATATAAATGATTAGTTATTGTGTTTACACATGAGATGTAAATAACGACGTCTTTCCGCTGCCCTCTAGTGGTAGAAGAAGAGCTCAGATGTTTTCATCATGTCAGACCAAATCTTTAAAATCAAGTAAAACTTATTATCAACAAGATGCACTGATTGCATCAAAAGTAAAAATGCTTTTTCTTTTGCAGACCAGCCTCTTTGACGTTGGTAGATTAACTGTTTTATTGTTTTGACAGAACAAAGCTGAACTAGCTAACAGCTTAGTTACCGTAATGTCTGGACTATACGTCGCTACTTTTTTTTCACACGCTTAAACAACGATGCGGCTGATTTATGGATTTTTACGAATTTGCCCCGAGACCAAAGTGACGCTGACATCTTAACCAGTAGTGTTAAAGGCGCTCTTCGGAAAAAAGCATTTACGGTATTTGTGTATGTTACCGGTACGTATTTAATTAAAAGTTGAAAAAATCTTTCTGTGTAAATATCTCATGTTCCAATGTGCACACCTGCAACTTTTCGACAAGTGCGGCCTGTATATGAACACATTTTCTTTTTAAAGTTAGCAGGTGCGGCTTATATTCAGGTGCGCTCATAGTCCAGAAATTACGGTACTTGTACTTGTACTACCTGATGTTAGGTAGGGATTGTGCCCCGTCTAGGCCACACAGTTAATTAAGCTGTTGAGAGATGGTTAATCAGGAAGGAGGGATGTTGGAACAAGCACCACAGCACAAAGTTTGTGTTTTTTATTTTTTCCCTCGTGTTCGTATCGTGTCAAATATTACATAAATATTCGACCTATAGTGACCCGTCGGAGACATTTAAGGCTGAAAGGAAACCAGACAAACCAGATAAATGCTGCTCCTCAGTGAGGCTTCACGGGACGAAACCTGTGCTTTAATTTTTAACGTACGTTTCCAAGTTTACAATTGAAATTGATTTCAATAAGAAGAGTGTAATCAGCATGAAT